GTGTGTGTGTGTGTGTGTGTGTGTGTGTGTGTGTGTGTGTGTGTGTGTGTGTGTGTGCCACCCAGGCTGCAGACAAGACACGGATCAATGTGTGTCAGGACTGTACACAATGATGTCAGGGACAGGAGAAAAGTGAGGGGGGGAGGGAAACAAAAACTCTTGGCACATCAGGATTTGGCCAGAACCCCATTGGTTCATCAGATTCTCTGGAATAATAAACAAGCAATCAGAAGACGGCATGAGTGTACACAAAGGCATTGCAAAACTTTTGCAGATAATAAAAAGAGCTGTTTTTTTTTTTTTTGTTTGGTTTTGTTTGGTTTTTTTCACTTGAGGCGAGGTGGATGATTGTTTGTGCTCCTCAGTTGTCCATAAATAGAGGGAGCCCCCACTAACAGGAAGTATAAACACACAGATGAAGTGGAGGGAAACTGTAGTCCAGCGAAGTGATTTCAAACATTTCTGTTTATGTGTAACTGTAGCCTCGGTTTGAGCCTGAAACACAAAGGAATGTTTCCTGAGGGAGAAGGAGGGGTCAAACTGAGCCACACACTTTGTAGGACTCAAAAAGTGTGAACATCAGTTCTTTTAAAAATATGTAAATATCACTAAAACCTTTTTGTTTTAGATTATTAAATAAAATGTAGTGCCCCTTTTCCACTGGTGCCACTTAGTGTCAGTACGGTTCGRTACGGTTCCAAGCCATTTCCATTAGGCCAGATTCGTGGAACTGGCCCTTTTTTTAGTACCTACTTCATTGTGGTTCCAAGCGGCCCAAGTTGACAGCAAAATGTGACGTCAGAACACTGTTCATCACTGATTGGCCAGGGGGTGGAGTCACTGGTTGCTTCTAAGCTGCCTTTAAAGAACAACTCAAGGCTCCGTTTTTGAAATTGTAGCAGTGACATTAGTCGTGTTTCCATTCAATTTTAATTCGAATTTTTAGCAATTTTTTTTATTTCTAAAGGTGTTCATCAAATGTGTTTCCATCTCTCATTTTGCACATTAACTTTTATCGAAAACCCCCAAAACCACCTCTACCAACCGCCCAAAAYACACCCACTGGAACCGGATTGGAACGTCAATGGAAAGGCACCCGAACTGACCCGTTCCGACACTTACCATACCGATACTACACTAAGTGGCACTAGTGGAAAAGGGGCATAAGTTTCCCTTCAGTCTAATTTGTCCCTCAATGAGCCGTCCTCGTGTGTCGCCTCAGGGTTAACAGAGCTCTAATGATGCAGTGTCTCTGCTCCGGTCCCTGGAGGCGCTCCACTCCTCAGGAATTAATCCTGTTGTCTTCATTAACCTGCCGGCCCGCCGGCCCCAGCAGTGCTGAGCACCAGGACCCCCAATGTCACGCTGATAATTGATGTGTTGTTTAGAGCTACAATGATCTCCTTATTCCTCTCAYTTCATCTCAACTTTCTTCTCACCCAGATCATTCGGAGCGCTTGGCAGGAAGTGTGTGAGGCGAGGAGAATCCTATTGATCGTCAAGGCAAAACCTTGTTCAGGTTTCTGATGCAGACTCTGTTTGGCAATTTTGAAGAAGTAACAATGAACAGAACGAACCAACCCTCCTACTATAGATTTTAACTGTGTGGGTAAAATACATGCAAAATGGGACCGGAAAATGTAAGGAAAAAGCTTAAAACTATGTAATAAATAAAATTAAGAATAAAAATAGGATTAATAGGATTCAACATAAAATAGGAATGAAAATAGCACAAAAATTAGTGAGAATAAGATTAAAAATTTGAGAAAAGGCAGTGGCGGATCTAGGATTTTTCTGAGTAAGGGGCCATCAAGGGGCCACAATGCTTATAGAAGGGCAAAGTATTTGTTCAACATCCTTGCACATAAATCCTCAGTAAGATGTATAAATCTAACCGGTCACTGTTCTAACATTTGTAATGTAATGTAGTGTTATTAAAAATGCTCCTGTATCAATTTTACATGCATGTTTACAGTACATGGATAAAATWTTCTCAAAGCATGGCAAGGCATGGGACAGATGGAGTGACAGGACGGGGCACTTCAGGGGGCCCATCAGATTTCAGCAGGGGCCAATGCCCCTGTGGCCCCGCCCCTAGAACCGCCCCTGAGAAAAGGTGAATGAGACCTAAAAGTATAACAACAAACTTCAGTATTAATGTAAGGTTCGAACAAATTAGAAGTTTATAAATAAAGAACTTTTTGAATGTTTAAATAATAGTGTTCATTAAATTGTTCCACGTTTGCAACTAAAAAAGGCAATTTTTAGAAATTTGGTCTTAAGTTACGGAAGCTTCAGACAAGAAGTTAACCAAATTGAGCTCAAAACACAAACCTCATTTCATCTCTCTCTCTCTCTTCATGCCTTCAGGTTCAGGGTTCCTGTCTTCATGTCTGTGATTTTATGTCTCCATGTCTCCATGTCTTCATGTCCTCAGGACTCCTCCTCCTCACGCTCTTGGCTGTTCTTGACCTCAGAGCTAAATCAAGTTCAAAACGGGACCACTGGTGTTTGACAGATAGTTTTACATGAGGGCAGAGGGAGAACCAGTTGTTTGGTCAACCTCTGGCTCCCTCTTTGATTCGCAGCTATCTGTGACCCCCAGCCCCCCACCCCTCCCCGGCAGAGCGACACCACTTAAACCTCTTCATTCTGTCACAATCCTCAGACTGATAAGATCGGACAGATAAATTAGCTGACTGCACTTTCAGTTTCTGTTTCTTCAACTGCATTATTTTCGCAACTCAGCACAGTTATTTGTTGACTTTTTTTTTCTTTATGAGCAGGACTTCATCATGTAACTCCATGTTACAAAAAGAACTCAACTCTGTTAAAAAACAAATAAATTATATTTAATTCAATGGATTTGTTTTGACTGTGTCAGTTCTTTCATTAAAATGTTCCTTTTTTATCACAAAAAGTGTCATTCCATTGAGTAACAAGATATTTTGTTTCTGATTTCAGAGGCTAGCCTAAATGTTTGGTCAGTGTAAAAAATTTAATGAAATTTCAGTAAATCCAAATCATTTGGGAGCAGTTTTATTTGAACAGGAGTACTGCATCTTTTAGTGTGATATCACTTTAGTTTGGACCAGGTTCTGCCTGTTTTAAATCAAACCTGCTGCAGATGATTAGAATAAAAAGTCAGCTGTCCACAGACTAAAGGCAAATAAAAAGAAAAGAGTGTTTATCTTGTATTACAGGTGATTATCAAAACAATGAATTAATGCATTATGATTTATATATAAAATTTTCATAACAAATATATATAATTTGTATAAAATGTAAGAGAAATTGTGTTTGGTAAATGATTCCTTTGCTGTAACAATGYTTCTYGGCAATAAGTACTATAAAGTTGGAAAGCCTGTTAACTTTCATTTTAACAGTGTTGTATAAAGTATCTCAAAGTGATACTTGAGTAAAAGTACAAGTATCCTATCATAAAAATTCTTTGGTAAAAGTTAAAGTCTCCTCTAAAAATATTACTTGAGAAAAAGTCTTAAAGAATCTGATATTTTTTGTACTTGAGTATTAAAAGTAAATTTCTGACACAAAATCTACTTAAGTATTAAAAATAAAAGTACTGAGTAAAAGTGAGCAGTTAGGTTTTCCAAAATGACATTTATTGGGAGGTGACTTCTCAAAAAAATATTTTTTTCTAACAGCGTGCAGCTGTGATGGGTTGTGTACAAGATAATAGTGTGTCAGAATGGTATATATTTATACTTCTCATCCAACCTCAATTAAATTCACTCTATCCAGGAGACACAATTTATCAGGATAGTATTTTTTAAGTAATAAGTCAGAATAAAAAAGGAGTAACGACCTACCTTTTTCAAAAATGTAGTGAGTAGAAAGTACAAAAAATAGTGTAAAAATGTAATGATTAAAAGTAAAATGTACGCTGAAAATTAATTACTCAATAAAGTACAGATAACCAAAATTTCTACTTAAGTACAGTAACAAAGTAGTTGTACTTAGTTACTTTACAACTCTGCATTTTAAATGTTGCCACATTTGTAAGGAACATGCATTTGTGGAATGAGCAGTAGAGCGGAGTGCGTGGGTTGAACTTCCCAAAACTTCTCTGCCAAACAGTTTATTTTGCTGTTGCTTCTGTTGTTTTGAGCTTCTGGTACCTGCAGCTGCTGCCAATCAGGTGCTGCTTAAGATTTAGTCCCAAGAAGCATTGTTGTACAAAGAAATGATCTACCAAACACCCATTTATTTTTTGCATTCATTTTATTTTGAAACAAAGGAATGATTTTTTTTTTTGTGCATCCACTTTTGTGTGCAGCTAAAAATATTTTGCAGGAATCAGAGTTTTTCTATTACAGAGCAATACAGTTAAATGAAGAATGGGRCTGTGGTAGCTTTGGTGGTCAGTGCTGTGGTTTTGTCAGGAAGGGCATCTGATGTAAAACACTTACAAAAAATGAATGAAAATTTGCTCACTGTGGTGAACCCTGAAGAAAGGAGCAATCAAAAATAAAAAATAAAAACAGCATATTAGAAGAAAATACTTTATTCAAGATTAGATAATGCAATTTTGGCATAGCAGTGCAATGCATGAACATATAATTACGTGAGAATTTCAACAAATGTTTATTAAAAAGAAAAATTCCTCTGGGTCACCTTTTTCTCACAGCTTTGCTGTGTTTTGCTCTGATTTTGGTTGCTTTCCCTGACCTTTAACTCCTGCCCCAGAGAGATGCAAATGCCCAAAGAACATAATGGGTCCTTTCCTGTGTAAAAACCAGCCCGTAAAGGAAGATAATTAGGGTTGTCATGACAACGGGTCCGGTTAGGCTGATGGAGCCGTGTTCTTTCGCAGAACTTCAAACGATATTTAAAAAAAAAATACCTCCATGGGCTGGTACTCAAGCTCTGGTTTGAATTACAGAGCCAGTTCAAGCGTCTCACTTCAAATTCAAGATTTGGTTGGAACAACCCCTTCAAAAAAAAAATCCTGAAAGAGGAGGAAAAGAGCCTGGTTTAGTCCTGATTCAGACAGACCTGGAGATCTGGATTTCATTAGAGACAATTATCTTATCTGTTTCATCTCAATGCTGCCCTGAGGGTTGGCAGGCGGATCACTGGGCCCTCTGCAGTTTGAGAGAGCCTGCAGCCAGAAGGCCTGTGGATCAGGTCATTAAAACACTCCTGCCCCTGCTGCTTGTCATAAAATATTTTCATGCTTTTGTAAATAGATTTTCTTCTTTCAACCCCGCAGGACAGAGAAAACACAACATTTTCTTCTCTGGATATGTAAGGATGGCCTAAAAAAAAATTTTTTTTTTTAAACGAGTCAGCGAAAATGCTGTTGGTTTTGCTCTCAGGTGGCGCCGCAGGAGTTCTGTCTTCATGTTTGTTGGTTTTTCTCCTGCCAACATGTTGCTGTGCTTCATCATTAACGCGCAACCTGATCGATGCTGAGTTCAGTCAACATTTTCAGGCTGTCTCGCACCATGTCAAAAAGCACGCGTGAAGTTGGGAGAAAATGTAAAAGTTTTCTCCAGAATTACTGTATTTATTCGTGTATAATATGATCTTATGTATAATTCGACCCCCCCCCCCCCCGCCTTTTTACCTTAAAAAGCATAAAAAATTTAATCCTCAAACTACCTCCAATTTCATACAGACTTCAAGATTTTTCAGCCTTTGCAGTCTTTACACATATCAGTAAAATGATCATTGGACTGTTCTTTTATTTTAACAACATATGTACTAAAAGGTATTTTGACAACAAATATATATATCAGCTGTAGCAGCATCATATGAATTCTGGCATTTTACACATAGTCCACCAGGAGGCACCAACACAAAAGTCAGACACTTCACATGAGATTTGGACCATCTTGTGGGGGAAAAGCAGATTACTTCCTACTCGCGKGCGCCCCCTCTGGTGGGGAAACATTTTTTCAGGGATACAAACTTTTCAGAACACCGGTAGACGGCAGCCATTACAGACGAACATGTGTTTGTTGTTGTTYGAGGAGCGGCTCGGTCATGACGAAAACTGCGTCACTTCTGTTCGCATTGCCGACATTTCGGCAGCTTCTCGACACAAACTGCTGGTCGAACTTTTCACCCCCCTCTACATAAGAATACATACAAACTATACGGTGTGATTGGTCAGAAGTTCGTGGGAGTGTTTGTGCTGAAAGTGCTCAGATGCTGTATTTGCGTCAACCACTTGCTTCAAAAACAGAAAGAAAAAAAGAAAAAAGTGATCACTTCCAGAGCCGACTGTTACCAGGAAGCAGCAGTTTGTAAGGATAGTCAATGGCCAAAACTTAATGAAAGGGGATAAAACAGACATTTTTCATGGTGGAATCTGACTGAGAAAAACTTTGGAGCTTATCCAGGACAAGTTWGTGGATAAACAAAGTCGAATGACGAGTCTCGGACTCCCGGACTCCCCCGGGAAGAAACACCATGCAGTGACGTATGCTACAGCGGGAGGGGTTTTCCCAGGAGCTCGGCTTGGGGTGTCTCAGGAACTATGAAAGGTCTGTGCGAAAACAAACGCCGAACAACCACGTGTCGACCGGTCGGCTGCCGAGCAACCATTCTGCCTGCTTTAATTCATGTTGATAATGTACRGGAATTCCCTGTCAGGAAGTATCTATCTCAGTCTTACTTTTACTTTCTAATAGTATTTCTGTTTTCTTTATTTCACATTTAGTCAGTTGCACACGTTGTAATTTCCATGTTTATAAGACTGATAACGTACTGTTTCAATGCAGGAAACACCACTTAGAGAGCAGTTGTTGTTTTTTAGTGGTGCTCAGTTTAAGCAATGAGACGAGGAATGTGACGTTTAGTGTTTAGTCAAAGTAAAACACGAAACATCAAAGATAATTACAAATGGGCCTTTGAGGGCCACCATAATGCTCATGTGGCCCTTACACAAAATGAGTTTGACACCCCTGGCTCAGTTGGATCAGCTTTGGAAACCATCTTGCTTCAGGATTACTCCAAACCTTAAAGACTTCTTGCCTGAATAATTATTTACTGAAAGTTATATTCAAATCCAAGTAGTTCATGGGATATTTGCCAACACACAGACACAGGCAATCACGTGATTACCTGCCCAGAATCTACAATAAAATCCAGACTTTGTTCTCCACCTGAAGAGTGACATAGCACACGAGGAAGAGGACAGTTTGGCTCAGAAAAGTAACTGCAGATTTTGAAGCAAGGTGCCCTTCAGAGGGGCTGAATGGTGGTGAAAGAGCAGAAATGGTTGTGAGGCCCCCGTGGAGGACCTGGAGCTGTAATTGAGAACCCTCCTCATCAGGGGTGAGGGATCATTCGGGCAAAGACTTCCCTTCATCACAGCCGAGCCGGGAAACGCAGAGGACAGCACGGGTCAGCTCAGCCGGCCTGCTGTGAGCCGTTACCGTGGCAAACATCCCAAAGGCCAAAGAAAACAAATGACAAATACAATAATATAAGGTGTTCACAAGGAGGTCAGTCGCTCGCCGTGATCTGCCTCCATTCTCAGGGACCTYGTTCTCCGACAGTGAAAGAAAAGTCGGAGCACTTTGAGGGGAAAATGACTCTATAATGTGGCTCATTTTCCACGTCGTGTTTTCAGGAAACCTTGAGGGACACGCTCTAGAGACCCTCCACCGAAGCAATTCAGAGAGTCCAGCCTCACGATCGGCTCGAGATATTTGCTTTCCGGTTCTTTGTTCCGTGCGCCTCGCCGATGGAATCTCRCATCCTCTTTGAGCGGGGGGAAATTTTATGACTTATTAACTGTCAACAGTTCATAACCTCCGAGGAGCCATTAAACTTTCTCCTGTGGTCACAGAAGAAATGCCAGCGTTTGATTCGTTCTCGGAATGTTTTTGCTC